TAGATGAATGGGACCTTCTAAAAATTTTTATGTGCTTCCAAAGACTTCTCCAAAAGAGTCAAAAGAGAACCTACAGATTGGGAAAAAAATACTTGGCAATGACATATCTGACAAGGGATTTATCTCTAGAATTTATAGAAAACTCCAATACCTCAATAACAAAAAGACAAATAATCCAATTAAAAAATGGGCAGAAGACATGAATAGATAGATACTTCACCAAGGAGGATGGATATTCAGGTGGCCAACAAACATATGAAGAAATGTTCATGATCATTAGCCATTAAAGAGATGCAAATCAAAACAACAATGAGATACCATCTGCCCCCAGCACTAGTAGCAAAGTTCAACAAGACAGAAATAACAAATGCTGGTGAGGATGCAAAGAGATTAGGACTCTCATACACTGCTAGTGGGACTGTAAAATGGTACAACCACTGTGGAAAGCAGTATGGCAATTCCTTAAAGAGTTGGAATTAGAAATACCATTTGATCAAGCCATTCTATACTAGGTATATATCCTAAAGAAGTGAGAGCCATGACAAGAACAGACATATGCACACCCATGTTCATCGCAACACTATTTACAATAGCCAAAAGATGGAAGCAACCTAGGTGTCCATCACCTGAGGAGTGGATAACTCAGTGGTTACATGCACACAGTGGAATACTATGCAACCCTAAAGAATAATCTAGAATCTGCAAAACACCACATAACGTGGATGAACTTGCAGGACATTATGCTGAGTGAAATAAGTCAACCACAGGACAAATATTGTATTAGGCTGTTACCGTAAAAGGCAAGGAAAGGTTTATCTATGGAAGGAAATTTTCTTTGTTGGTTACCAGGGGTGGGAGGGGAGGGGAGGGAACACTGTTAGATAGGTAGAGCTAAGTATTGATTTGGGTGAAGAGAAGGGCATTGTACCAAATGTGAGTGATCAACATGGTGGCATTGAGGAAGAGGAAGACATAGAGAGGCACGTGGGAGGTACAGACAACAGAGATGAACCTGTTTGCACATACAGTACTATGTTTTCAGTGGAGGTAAATATGAGTGTATGGGTGGACAGGCAGAACTATTAGGTATTTCTATGAAGTGGGGAGTGTACCCAAGACCATGTAGAGGGTTGGCAGATAGTGGTCCTATAAGTGTATTTGTATGATCTGAATTCCCAGGTGTATAGTAGAGCTGACAAGGGACAAGGTTGTAGTCACTTCTTGGTCACAGCCAGCTACCCAGAGGGAGTGAGTAGTTGAACCTGTGGCCTCGGGACCATAGCCACAGGGGACGTCAACTCAATTAGCATAACATACTACACAAAACATTGTTCCACCTCCTACTTTGGCAAGTAGCGACTGGGATCTTTAAAGGTTGCAAGCAGCCATCTAGATACAACGATGGGTCTCTCCTCATCCAGAGCAAAGAATGAAGAAAACCAAAGATTCATGGAAAGAATTAGTCCTAGTGACTAGTATACCATGCGATCCGCAGGTTCTACAACTGTGAGACCAGAAGAACTAGATGGTGCCCGGCTACCACTGTCAGCCACTTGTAGAGAGAACTATGTAGGAGATCCTGGATAGAGAGGGAGAACAATGTGGAACCAAACTCAGAATCATTTGGGGGGTGGGGGGACCAGGTTTGCCGGTCTGATAAGAGCCTGATGGAACCACTGAGACTATGGCCCCCGGCTGCCCCTCAGGCCTGGAATTGAACTTACACCTGTGGCTTCCAGCCAAACAAAAGACAGGGCTATGAGTTAAACATTTCCTGAGGTAGATACACTCCTTGGAGAGAACAATCATAGGAGAGAGAAGGGCTCTTTATGCACAGGGAGACAGTTCTGGGGGCAGGAGTGCTTGGAGGGATGGACACAGGGAAGAGGTAACTATCAGGAGGAAGTGGGATGGGAGCTGTTGCATTGTGGTAAATTGTGGTCAGTGTCATGAGACAAAGGGTATGTGAACTGATGTATGGAAAGTGAATTTGCTCTGTAAATCTTCACCCAAATCACAATTAAAAAAAAAAAAAGATAAGTTTTATTTCAGCCTTTTGAAAAAATAAATTCCTTCCTACTTCCACCTTTAGGGCCCATTTCTTGTTCTTGCTCTCTTTTTTCTTTTTGTGGTTTCTAGTCTTTGGCAAAGACTCATTTGTGTGGTATATCTGTGAAACGTATGTACAGAAAAGTATTTTGAAATATGTATGTGTGTGTGTGTGTGTGTGTGTGTGTATATATATATAATGAATAATTATAAAACACAGCAAAAATAGAAAATTGTCAGTGGTTTGAATTTCACTTATAGAATTTGTTATGGGAAATTGTGTTACAGTGTAAAAGATAGAGACTTTTGAGCTAACTAGACCCTGGTTTAAATCCAAGATTTGCTATTGACCAAAACACAAGTGGCTTTGGATAAGTCACATAATCTCTCTGAGCCTCAGATACTTCATTTATGAAAAATTAGGTGGTTGTAAGAAGCGGAGATAATACATACAAAATACTTACACAATACCGAGCTTATAATAGTATCCATTTATGATTTGTTTATCTCACTCATTTTTTTCTGTATCTTCTATTTTTTTCTTTGTTCATATGACCTCTTAGAAGACTTTGCATGGTTTTTTACTTCTATTTTTCTCATCTTTCCTTTTTCTCACTTAAGGCCTTATTTCCAGTATTTTGCCTAATTAGACTAACTTACTAACCCTTTCTCCTTTAAATGATATATACTACTACCATCTTGACCTTACTGTCCTTTTACTTCTCCCCTGCCTCTGATAGCCTTGTATTTCCCTACTTTCTACCAAAATTCATCATGCATTTCCTAATTGCTACTCTGTATCTTTTCGTCTAGTCTGTCCTTTAAACCTGTAGAGTGTATTTTCCATTTTCACTGTTTGCTGTGTCTCTCACATTCATTCTTCTTGACACCTTTTCCTTCTTGAATTCCTTTGACCTTTTGATACTAACATCCTAGCTCTCTTTCACCAGTGTTTACATACTTTTCTTCTAATTCCTTAACCTTTGGTTTGCCTTAGTTTTGCTCATCACTGTTCCCTCCCACCTTGGTATTCTACTTAAGGGAATTTATATTCTTCCATCTATCTATCTTATCTCAATGTAGATAGTTTTCTGTGTCTTTTAACAAGCGCATCAGCCTATAACCTTTTTCATCCACTTGTCATACTGTTGTCTCTAACATTATTTTCTTTACTTCCCTTTTCTTTAGCAGCACCCAATACATACTATGTATATAGAATAACTTCCAAATTTTGAAGCCTAGGATATGGTGCACACTCCCCCTTCCTGCAAACACAAACATGTGCTTAGATAACCTGCCTGCTACTTTGATCCCTTACTGTATTTTTGCATCTCTCCTTGGCTTCTGCTCTTGGTCTTTCCCTTGCCATCCATACACATCATGATTATTCCACCCATAATACCTTAATTTCTACTTCCAGCTGTCAGTGCTTTCCTTTTTCTATTCATCTTTGAAAAGCCAGTTCTGTTTTCACTTTCTTTGTAAAGTCTTTCATCATTGTTCCAAATTATAATGATCTCATCCTGTCAGCAAAGTTATGCAGCCTTATAATATCTCCAGTATGAAAAACTGATAGTTTAGTGGAATCAGATGGGGTTTTAACTGTAAGATCAGTCTAGAGGCTGTAGCAGTAATTCACATGGGATGATGAGGACCTAAACTAGCACAATGCTATTAGGGGTGATGATATAAACGTGGGAAATACTTAGGAGGTAAAATTGGCATGACTTACTAATTAGATGTGTCTATGGGAAAGGAAGGAGTCAAGGAAATAATGGCTGGCTAAAAGTTACAACTACAGACGGAGATAAAGAAGCAAGTTTATAGTGACCGAAGGCTTTGAGAGCTAATAAGACATTCAAGTGGGGATATCCAACAAGCATTGGATATAACAAGGCAAAATTCAAGGGCAAGATAAAAAATAGCCATACAGATCTGAATTTAAATGGTAATTTTTTTCTTTTCCCCCAGTCCTTCATTACAGTTTGAAGCTGCCTGGGCACTAACTAACATAGCATCAGGAACTTCTGCACAGACTCAAGCTGTTGTACAGTCTAGTAAGTAATTCACTCCCTTACTCTCTGGATATTTGTTTGTTTTTTTAATGATGGCAAGAAATGGAGTTTTGTGACAAAGACTGAATTTTAGTTTGCAGCATTTTTAAACTGGTGAATTTTATAAGTTACTTTTTATGATTGTTAAGTTACCAATACCTATCATTAATCTTTTATTAAATAATTTTACTTGTGGTTACTAAAAAGTGAATAGATTTTTATCTTTTTGGGTAGAAGCCATTTCCTAATAACAGGGCTTAAAATCTCTGTTTCTAATACTTCCAAGGTCCAGAGTGGCTTGTATCTCTTAGCTTGTAATGTGTGTGTGTGTGTGTTACATTTATTTATATATATATATGTGTGTGTGTGTGTGTGTGTGTGTGTGTGTGTGTGTGTATAATTTTGGTTACCTCAAGACTGGGCTCACTATTATTGGTGTGTTGACTCAAACTGACAAAAGCTCTTTGAAAAGAACTAGATGTCACCAAGTACATTGTCTCAGTGTGTGAAACAGTTGACTTTGTGTGGGACTCAAGATGATTTCAAGTAGTATATGGTATAATAAGTTACATTGAATCATGCAGTAAGAATATATTCCCTTTTATTTTTCAGATATTTCAATAATATCAAGGCGAAAGCTTCAGTTAGGTGTTATTTGTAACAAAAAGAAAATAGACCTTAGGCTAGGGCTCTCAGTAGAGACCAGTAGGTATAATTTAATAACAATGTTTTGTTTTCATTGTTTATTTTTTAGTTATCTTATGTTTGATGAGAAATTATCTTTGTCTTCTGTTTACCAAACTGATAAATAAAATTACTTAAGTTTTAAAAATGTGAGTCAGTTGAATCCTTCATACATTGCACATGTGAATGTAAAATACGGTCCAGCCACTCTGGAAAATGGTTTCTCAAGAGGTTAACCATAGAATTTTCATCACTTAATTTTGCTCATGCAGTACTAAGAGGCAGTCATTAAAACAAAACAAGAGAATACTGCATGGTTTAATCAGGAAAAGTATGTGTCTAGGTTATATCCTTTCACCATACTTTCTCAGTCTATATGCTGAGCAAATAATCTGAGAAGCTGGACTGTATGAAGAAGAACACGGAATCAGGATTGGAGGAAGTCTGATGAACAGCTTGCGATAGGCAGATGACATAGCCTTCCTTGCTGAAAGTGAAGAAAACTTGAAGCACTTACTGATGAAGAACAAAGACTACAGATTTCGGTGGATTACACCTCAAAATAAGGAAAACAGAAATCCTCACAGTTGGACCAGTTAGCAACATCATGATAAACAGAAAAGATTGAAGTTGTCAAGATTTCATTTTACTTGGATCCACAATCATCACCCATGGAAGCAGCAGTGAAGAAATCAAATGGCATATTACATTGGGAAAATCTGCAAAAAACCTCTTTAAAGTGCACAGAAGCAAAGATACCACTTTAAGGACTAAGGTATACCTTACCCAATCCATGTTATTTTCATTTATCTCATATGCATGTGAAAGTTGGTTGGATAATAAATAAGGAAAACCAAAGAATTGATGTGCTTGAATTATGGTACTGGCAGAGAATAGTGAAGATACTATGGACTGCCAGAAGAACAAACAGATCTGTCTTGAAAGAAGTGTAGCCAGAATGCTCCTGAGAGGTAAAGATGGTGAGACTTTGTCTCACGTACTTTGGACATGTTATCAGTTGGGCCAGTACCTAGAGAAGGATATCATGCTTAATAAAGTACAGGTCAGTGAAAAAGAGGAAGACCCTCAGCAAGATTTGACACAGTGACCTCAAACATTGCAATAATTGTGAAGGTGATGGCAAGACTGGGTAGTGTTTAGTTCTGTTGAACATAGAGTCACTATGAGTCAGAACTGACTTGACAGCACCTAATAATAACAATAGAGTTTTCATATGACCCAGCAGTTCTACTCCTATGTATATACCTAAGAGAAAAGAAAACATATGTCCACACAAATACTTGGACACAAATGTACATGAATATTCATAACATTGTTAATAATAGTCAAAAAATAGAAATAACCTAGATGTGTATAAGTTGATAAATGAATGAATAAAATATGGTGTATTTATGTAATGCAGTACTCTTCAGCAATGAAAAGGAACAATTTACACAGGTGAATTTTATGTGTTATAGATTGAATTGTGTCCCCCCCAAAATATGTGTCAACTTGGCTGGGCCATGATTCCCAGTATTTTGTGGTTTTCCTCCATTTGTGATATGATATAGTTATCTTCCATTTTGAGATCATAATCTCTGTATGTTAATGAGGCAGGATTATGGGGTTTTTGTGTGTTTTGTTTTTTTTTTAGGGTGGATTGTATCTTGAGTCAGCCTTAAAGGAGTGCATGACTCAGGTTCCATCCACCCTTACTCAAGTCATACCCTTGCTTGAATTATACTTTTTATCTTACAAGAGATAAAAGGAGAAAGAAGCAGAGAGAGAGGAGAGACCTCACTGTTACCAGTAAAGAAGAACCAGGAGCAGAGTGTGTCCTTTGAACCTGGGGTCCCTGCACTGAAACTTCCTAGACCCAGGGAAAGATTACCAAGACACAGAGAGATTGCCAAGGAATACCAGGCCCAGAGATGTTGAAAAGAAACAAGGACCTTCCCCAGAGCAAGCTTTCCCCTAGAGCTAGCACCCTGAATTTGGACTTCAGTGTCCTAAACAGTAAAAGAATAAATTTCTGTTTGCTAAAGCCATTAACTTGTGATATTTCTTTTATAGCAGCACTAGATAGCTAAGACAGTAGTATGTAAATTATATCCCAGTAAAGTTGTTAAAAGTGAATCAGTTTTATGAAAATATTAAGTAGATAATGCAGGTAATACACAGATAATGGAAAAATATTAGAGATAGTATGCACAATTGAAACTTAAGGTGAAGATTATGCTGAGTTTCCTGCCAGGAAATGGGTGTGATACCCATGTTTCAGGATTTGGGGAGGTAGTTTAAGTTATGTAAAGTGTAAGGGCAGTCTGACTAACTGGCCATGGTCATGGTACAAGACCAGGTAGTGTTTCATTCCTTTGTGCATGGGTTTGCTCTGAGTCAGGCAGACTCGACAGCAGCTAACAGCAACAACAACAACAATGTAAGGATTATAGGACAATTTATTTTAAAATAGAAATTAGACTTGATATGGGATTAATTTTTTGATAAATCTTGTATCAGGGATTGAGATTACATTGACTAAGTATTACATTTTGAGGTTACGTGTTTGGGGTAGAAGCTTTTTTTCTTTTATGCATTTTAGGAAAAGTTTCATGCTGCTATTTTCTTTGAGTTAATGATATAATAGCAGCCTTTAGATACTGTCAGTTTGTGTGTACTGGAATGTTGGTAGGGGAAAATACTGAAATTGATTTTTGTTTTAGGCTGAAGTCATTTGTCACATTTATTAATTTCATTAACTATAATTGAGCAGCTGCAGTATGCCAGACTTTGTGTATTTTATCAACTTATTTAGGTTGAAACCTATAAACTGTTTAATATTTTGCCATTATAAATATTATTCTTTATTATAAAATGTAAGTATTTATAAGTGTAAATATTTTTCTTTATTATAGATGCAGTACCTCTTTTTCTGAGACTTCTCCATTCACCACATCAGAATGTTTGTGAACAAGCAGTCTGGGCTTTGGGAAACATAATAGGTAAGTTGCATTTAGGTTTGAGAAGACTCCAATTAAGAATCTTAATTAACTTTTTTCCTACATTGGCATAGCCATTATACACTATGTTTCCTCTAAATTTATTTTGGCTTGACTGTCTTCCTGCCTTGTAAATACTAACTTAAAGTGGTACCTCTTTGGAAAGGATAGTAAGATTTGCTATTAGGACTAATAGGTTAAATTTCATGTCCCCAGATCAAAATCTAGAGAAACAGCAACAGTTGACTGTGCCCTTGACTAATGGTGAGGAAACATAGAACATCAGTGTCCCAACATGAGCCATTGCATACATTTCAGACTTCCTCATCTTGAATGTAATTTTTTTTTTAAATACAATTTTCATTTCTGTAGGTGATGGTCCTCAATGTAGAGATTATGTCATATCACTGGGAGTTGTCAAACCTCTTCTGTCCTTCATCAATCCCTCCATTCCCATCACCTTCCTTCGGAACGTCACATGGGTCATTGTCAATCTCTGCAGGAATAAGGACCCCCCACCGCCTATGGAAACAGTTCAGGAGGTAAATGAAGAATTGTAAAGGCCCAATGGTTTATTTTCCCTATGTTTATGCTTTAGTTTTTCATGCATGGGGAATGAATAACACTTACACTGATTTTATTGCAGGTATAAGATTTTTTAAGTAAGTTTTCATATTTATTTTTAACTCCTATGAAATAAAAGTTGAGTGTCTAACGGCACCTGAAAGATTGTCTTGAATTATATTGAGTCTGTCCTAATTCTTCATTTTTAACAACTATGTTTATAAAAATAAAACAAAAAATTCAAACAAAAAAATACAAAAGGAGAAAGAAAAAAAATCAGTTTAATTACTACTACATTGCATTGTTGATTTAACAATTATTAAATAAGGTGTTTCTGTGGATGAAACTAGCATACTTACATGCAAATGTTCTTGATGAATTTGCCTTAAGTCCAATTGAAATTTCCCTTTATGTCTAACAAAATTAACATTCTTAAAAATGTGACATAGAGTTATCCACTGTTTTGCTTTCTGTGGTTTTAGTTACCCACAGTCAGCTGTGCTCCAAAAATACTTAAATTGTGTGTCCTTCTGAGTAATGGGATAAAATCTTGTGCCATCTCCCATTCGGGCCAGGAGCTAGCTTCCTTCCCTTCTGCTGGGCCTAGAAAACACAGTTGGGTGATAACCCTGCCTGCCTGGGCAGCATCAGTCGGGTACCTGTCATATGTATGTATAGGAAAAAATAATGTAGATAGAGTTCAGTACTATCTACGGTTTCAGGCACGCATTGGGGGTATTGTAGTATAACTCTAGCAGATAAGGGGCACTACTGTACTATGTGGTAAATCTAATGAAAGGAAGAAATTTTACATATCTGATTTGTAAATAGATTTAAGTATTTTAAGTTTATAAAATTATATGTAACTTTTATTCACTTGACTGTAGAGAAATGATGTCTTTACAATAGCTTCTGCTATCTTTTGTTTTATGGAAAGGGTTCTGAATGTGATTCGCCTCCACTCATCCACCTCTACTTTCTTCCCCCAGATTTAAAAAAAAAAAAAAAAGAAAGATGTGTAAGGTCCAAACTCAAGAAATAAAGCTTTATACTTAGATACGTTGGTTATAATTTTCTTGACTAAATTTGTGGTAAAAACTTTAATTTGAATTAGTAACATATTAAATAAAACCATATTTTTACTTTATGTGCGTAAGTGAGATGATAATGGCAGTTTTAAGAGTATCATTTAAGTAGCTATACTGTTAATACTTGCATCTCCATTCTTTCCACTTGGCATTGTATGTTGTAAGAAAGTTTATTAAAAATGAATGTTTTTCCTCTAAGGTACATTAATCTCTGACATATTTATTTGGATATTTTAATTGAATATCCAAAATATGCTTTTAGTGTTTTAGAATGATCTTACGAAATTTTCATTTTTTAATTGAAGAGATTCCAACATATATAATGTTGTCCTTCTTGCCCTACAAACAGTATTTACTGCTTTTTATGTAGCAGTTTATTTTTACTAAGACATATTCATTAACTGTAGTGTTACTTACTATTTATCTTCTTTCCTTAGATTTTGCCAGCATTGTGTGTCCTCATATACCATACGGACATAAATGTAAGTAAACAGAAACTTAGATTTGAGATTTTGCTCTCAAGAGGACTGGAGGGGTAATGGTTTTGTGATATGCCTTAGAGAAAATTAGTGCCAGTATTAGAGCTGAGGCAATAAGAATGAAAATGCAAAGAGAGACTTTAAAAATATTAAATGATAAAATTTGGTGGGTTTGGTATGGGTGGTGAAAGAATTGAGGAGTGAAAAGTAATACCCAGCTTTCTAATTGGAATTTTAGGGTATAAGGCAACAGAAAACAAGAATAGCTGCATAAAAAGGTATGAAACAATAGGAATGGCTTGAGAATTTGAGTCAGTGACAACCAAGAATGCTGGAAAGAAGCTGAGTTAGAATGTGAAGATAGTTAGGCTGGGTTTTGTGCCTATTTAGAAGGAAGGCAAAATACTGACCCTGAGAACTAGAGGAGAAATTTGGACCAATTCAGATCAGTCTGTGTTCATGTGCTTTCTGTTTATTTTGCTGCTTAAAATTAATTTGCAGTGGGAATGAATTGGTTTTCCAACCCTTTCTGTAGTTGTTCTTTGGCTTGATGTGCCTAGATAATTTAGAGTGTCCTCTAAAACATTTAATACATAGCTAACTGATTTTTCCACTGATACAAATGAAATTAGCCAGTTGTAGCAGATTGTTTACATCTGAGGCTTGATTATTGGTGATGTTGGTGATTATTGAGGGTGTATCAAGCGTCCCCAAGACTACCCTTCAAATTCAGTGATTAGTTAGAAAGTCTTAAAGAAGCGTTATACTTACTATTATGGTTTATTGTGGTTCGTGAATTTTTTTTTTCTTCGCATCTTTATTCTGCTATATATTGTATCCTTCCAATGAGTTTTTAGATCAAAATTGGCCAAGGCAGAACACTCATAGGGCAGAGTCCAGAAGAAGCTAAACACAAGCTTCTAGTTGTTCTCTCCCAGTGGAGTCATAATAAGAGTGTTTCTCCCAGTATCAATGTGTGACAATATATGTTATCAACCAGGAAAGTTCACCTGAGCCTTGATATTCAAGGTTTTTATTGGGGATATAACATATAAACATGAGGCACCCATATGACTGAACTTAGCTACTCAGTCTGCAGCCACAAAAAGATCATACTGATACAGTATGGCTTAGTGCCCCAGGCAAGCAAAAATGAGACATTTACTATCGTGTACATTGTTAGCATAAGCTATTTTTGGCTTGGCCCAAGACTTCATATATTGATATGGTTGATGTGTTTAGCTTCAACTTTCATATTGTTTTATATTCTAATTTCTGTGTGTTTATTCTCTATTTAGTGTGCTTTCTTTGCCCTTTTTAAAATTTCTTTTGGTATTTAGGAAGGTTTGTGTTTTTGTTCCAGTAGCTGCCATTTTGTTGTAATGCCCTTTTCTTTTTAAGCGTGTGGCTCGACAGTTTTAAATGCATTTTTGGACACCTGTTTTACCTGTGCAATGATTGATGAACTCTTTCTTCTTTCACCCTTCTCTTCTCAGTTTTGAATCTGTAAGGTTATGTCTTTTGCCACATTTGGGAGACTTTCTGCCGTTATTTCTTCAAATACTTTTTAGGTCCACCTCTCCTTCTAGCACTCTGGTGACAGTGGTAGTAGATCTTTTGTAATTATCCTCCAAGTCCAGAAGGCTTTTGTCCATTTCTTTTTTTTTTCCTTCTCTTGTTCAGATTGGATGGTTTCTGTTGCTGATTCTGTTTTTGAATATTTTTTCTTCTCATCTTCATTAATATTTAATCCTTCCAGTGAGTTTTTCAGTTCAGTTTTAAATCTTTTTTTCAGGTTTAAAATTTCAGTTTGTTTTTTTCTTTATATTCTCTATTTCTTTGCTGTTACTTCTATTTTTCTTGTTTCAGAAGTGTTCAGAATTGCTTGTAGAATGTTCATAATTGCTTGTTGAGCATTTCAATGAAACTTTAAAATCCTTGTCAGATCCTTGTCAGATAATTGCTAAGATTATGTGTGTGTTGTCTCAGTGTTGGTATGAGGCCTCATTACACCTGGGCTGGCTGTTGGATAAGCTCAGCTAATAGGCACAGCTTCTGTCTTGCAGTTTTTAAAGTTCCAGTATTTCTATTTTTCTAGGACAGGAAAAACATTGACAAATTATTATTCCACTCATGTCCTTACATTTGTCTTAATCTTTGATCTACAGCGAGCTATATTAAATGCTCAACATGCGTTTTTTCACTGAAGTTTTCCTAGTCATCTCTTGATGACTCCTCTGCTTACAGGGGTTGACAAACCTTTTCTGTGAAGGGCTTGTTGTTGTTGTTGTTGTTAGTTGGTATGGAATCAGTTCAGACTTGTGGTGATCCCATGTCTGCAGCGTAGAACTGCTCCATAGAAAGGCTGTGACCCTTTTGGAAATACATCCTCAGTCCTGTCTTCCAAGGCTCCTCTGCTTGGGCTAGAACTGCCAAGTTCTGGGCTAGTAATCAAGTGCTTTTGTGCCAACAGGGACTCCTACAAAGGGCTATATAGTAAATATGTTAGGCTTTGCAGGCCACGCGTTTTTTTTTTTTGCACTGTGTAGCTCTGCCTTATAGTGTGAAGTATCCATAGATAATATGTAAATAAATTAATGACAATGACTGTATTTATAAAAACAAGCAGAGCTGGATTTGCCCCATGGGCTATAGTTTGCCAAACCCAGCTTTAGTAGCCATCTTAGGAAAAGTTTGTGAGTATTTTCTTAGTTCTCGCATATATAACTATTTTTCTATAGCCTGGTCCTTAGCTTACGTTACCTTTCCTCAAGTTTCTTGAAAGTGCTGTTTGATAGAGTTGCTTTTGAGAAGTCTGATTCCACCCTAACTTTTTTACTCTTATATGTAATTTGATCCTTTTGCCTGGAGATTCAGAGAACTTGTTTCTTTGTTTAAAGAATAATGGTTTTTCTAGGATATGGTGCCTTTAAGCCCTTCACTTCCCTCTCTCTTTTCAATACAGGTAAGGGGGTGGAAGCCCACACAAAAATTGGAATTTAATTTTTTCCCTTCTTACACATTATTTGAAATTTGTAGTGTTCTCTAATTCCTAACATTGCTGAAGATGTGGGCTATATGTAGTTTTATTTGCTTTTCTTATTCATCTGTTTTTGTAAGGGAATGTGGAGAGATTTGAATTTAGGTAGCTGCTATTACCTTAGAGCTACAGGATGTCTTTATTAATAATAAATATTAATAATAAACATCTCTGGATTTCACATAGAATAAGACTAGTGCTTCACATTTCTTTGTGTAAACAACAAGGAATGCCACAAACTTTTTGACCTTGAATGAGTCACCAAACCTCTGAGTCTGTTTTTTATTTGCAAAATTAGGATGGGCATAGGGTATGGTTTGTACTCCATATTCCTCAGCTGAGGACGTGTTTATGTGTTAACTTCTGTAGTCTGAAAAATTAATTGTATTGTTAATAAACATGTCTGAAAACTCCTTGAGTAAACAGATCATCTTTTTGGCCTCTTTTAGTAAGGAGCCCTGCTGGCACAATGGTTACATGCTCGGATGCTTACCGAAAGGTCCGAACCACCAGCAACTCCATGGGAGGAAAGACCTGACAGTCTGCTCCGATAAAGATTACAACCTAGAAAACCTTATGGGGCAGTTCTGCTGTGTCCTACAGGGTCACGCTGAGTCGGAATCAACTCGATGGCACACAAAGCAGACTTGAAGTATTGGCCTCATTCTCGGTATAATGAATGTGATTATTAGGTACCCAATTTGTGGAGCAAGGAGAATTACTTTTCTGCCTGTTTTCAAATTCACCTATCTGATATATAAATGCAGACGATGGAGGAAAAATTATCACAGACTTCTGTGTCTCTTTTTATTAAGAGTAGGCTAAGGTAGGCATTGGGGAGCTCTGGTAGCATAGTGCCTAAGGCACTTGACTGCTAACCAGAAGGCTGGCGGTTCAAACCCACCAGCCACTCTACTCCTTGGAAGGAAGGTTGGGCAATCTACTTCCGTAGTGATACCGCCTTGGCAACCCCAGGAGGGGTCGCTGTGAGTCGGGTCTGACTCGACGGCACTTAACAACAGCAACGACAAGGTAGGCATTGAGAGCAAGATGATGATGTTATTATGTGCCTCATAGCGACCCCTCCTTGGGTTGCCGAGGCGATATCTCTACGGAAGTAGATTGCCCAACCTTCCTTCCAAGGAGTGGAGTGTCTGATAGGTTTGAACTGCCAGCCTTCTGGTTAGCATAGCAGTCAAGTGCCTCAGGTACTACGCTACCAGAGCTCCTTGAGAGCACGATACCTACTACTTTATCACGGAAGCAGATATTATTGCCACCAAGCTGAAACATAAAATTTGGTTACTTCTTCTGTTACCACCCCTAAGGTATGTTGTGTATTTTAAACATTCAAACAAATCCGTAACATGATTATTCTTTTTTGCCTCCTGTAGATTCTTGTAGATACTGTTTGGGCTCTGTCATACCTGACAGATGGAGGTAATGAGCAGATACAGATGGTTATTGATTCAGGGGTTGTGCCATTTCTTGTGCCCCTTCTGAGCCACCAGGAAGTAAAAGTTCAAGTAAGTATTTTTAAATTTTTCATACCTCTGTAGAATTGTGTTTGCTGTAACTAGTTAACTTGCATGGCCAGGCTTCAATTTTGTTTATAAGTGCAGATCTTCCAGATTTCTTCTGTTACTCCCCTGAACCTGATTTTCTTGATTTCCAAATCTTTATCTCACCCACATTCTTGGCTGGGTTTCAGACCATATGGCCAATTGTTTTTGACCTCTTAGATACAACCTCTTAGAACTCTTTCAAGCATTACATTGTCATTTCAACAAGACAAAAATGTATCATCATCTCCCACAAACCTATCCTGTTCCTGTATCCCGTTTCAGTGGACAGCATGGTCCAACCTAGAAGCCTCAATTCCTCCTTTCATTTCCTCTTCATTACAAATTCCTATCAGTTCTTCATAGCTTTCAAATTTGAGCCATAGTTTTAGTTCAGGACTCAGTTTGTTTTTCTCTGATAATTTTAGTAGCCTACAAACTGCATTTCCTTTCTTCCCACTGTCTCCCCACTCATAATTAGGGATAGGTATAATAGATCGGCTTATCTCACTTCTGCCATAGTGTGCTTAACTAAATGGAAACATGTGCCCACTCCTGGCCTCTTATAAAATATTTTAGTGCATCCAATATTCCAATCCCAGATAAGAGCTTTTTATCATTTGGTCACTTCTAACTCTCAAACTTTTCCTGCCTACCTGTCCCTTAGGAGAATTATAGCTCAACCATACTTATTAATGTACTTAACAAAGAATGCCATCGTCCCCCATACTAATCAGCATTTGGCAATTATGCCTAGAATGGCCCCCCGCCAGACACACACACACACACACTTTGGATAGCAGATAACCTTTAGCACTCAACGGTATTTCTCCTGAGAAAATTTCCCTAGTGTTCGCCAGTAGAGGAGGTGCTGTTATTTTTATTTTTTAGGAATAACATTTCTATTTTTAAAATTTCTATTCTAAAATACATTTCTATATTTACAATTTACTACTGTGTTACTGTAACTGCTAGTTTCTTTGTTCATTGGATTCAGAGTTTCTCACAGGTATAGTATCTTTCCATCTTTATCTCTGTGCCTGAAGTAGCACCTGTCATGCAGTAGGTACTCCATAAATATTGAGGTACAGTAACCTAGCATATCTTTGAAATCTCCCTCTTTTTTAACATTTTATTATGGAAATCTTCAAACATGCACAAAAATAGAAAATAATACAGTGAACCTCTGTGTACTTACCACTCAACTTCAGAAATTATCAACATTCTGTTGTTCTTTTATATTCCTCCACTCTTTTTTCAGTTGTTTTTGCTGAATATTTTACATCAAATACTAATCAAATCTCTTTTCCACTCCTAATTTTCTGTAGTATCTTTCTAGCTATTATACCTGAATTTCAGGACCACAGCTACCCATAATGAATTCTTCACCAGTTCTCATTTAAACTGACTGTCAGGGACAATGTAGGGTGACTATACACACTTGTTCACACCTAAACGAGTACACACATCTTCTGGGGGATAGAGTGTCTTTATTCTGACATTGTCATGTGAGAATGTTATTTCATGGAATGACAAAACATGGTAGATGTTTTTTATTATTCCTCTCAGCAAATAAAAGCCGCTAACTTTATATGGTTCCCTTTCCCCGCCCTTAATAAAGAAAAATACTTGTTTTCATAAACTATAAAATCCCAAAGTTAAAATAATATATAACATATATGATCATTCACCTTACAAAGTATTTTGTGTCTGTTTTTTTTTCATTGAAATATTCTCATAGAACAGCCCTCAAATTAAGTGACTTGAAGAACATATACCTAGGATGTGATTATGATCCAGGACTCTTCATAATTATATTCAGTAACATTTAACTCAATAAACAGTTAATAAGCACCTAGAGTGTACCACTCATGGTGCTTTGTGATAAGACTACTTGTTCAAATAAAAATGGTTTTTTGAAGAGCTTTAGACCTCTCCGGTTGGGTAGAACAGACAGATAAGCCAGTGTTTTTAATTCAGCGTATTTTGTTGCTACAGAGGTAGGGTACTGAGGAAGCACAGAGTCATCGCACAAGACCCCTCTAACCCTACTCAGCTCCTGTGGCTCTGAGGCAGGGGCTTGTCTGTGATTCTGCTGAACACAGAAGCATAAGAGTGACTTGAACAGCAATGAACTTACTTTCAGCCAGCGTTTTAAAGGCAGATAAACACTGATGGATAAAAAAAGCACGAGTTTTTCACGAGTTAAAATTTAGTAATGGAATAAAATGGCTATTTAAGATGGGCTTTTATGGTTTCGTTTTAATTTCCTTTTTAAAATTTTTTTTGGCTTTTTTCCATCAGTTACTCACATGGTTTTTCCATAAAGTATTTTTCACAGGTGATTTGTTTAAAATTCAGAATTGCTTTTAGTTCTGCTTAATGCTTTGTGTAAGGATGAAGTGTTACTTATTCACCCTTTATATTTTTACATTTTCTCAAGGTTATGAAAAATACATAATTAGTTTCATCATAGACAAATAAATAAGCTTACAGAAAACATTGTATCCCTACCCTAGACTGCAGCACTCAGAGCGGTTGGCAACATAGTGACCGGCACTGATGAGCAGACCCAGGTCGTTCTCAACTGTGATGTCTTGTCACACTTCCCAAATCTCTTATCACACCCAAAAGAGAAGATAAATAAGGTAAGACTACAATGTCCTCATCATTTTACATTTCTGTCTTTGAAATCTTCTTTAACTGCTCCTTGTTTCTGTTGTTAACTTTTTCACTGTGACTTTTCCTCAAAACCAATGCAGATAAGATGAGAATTATTTCATATCACCTCTGCAGTTATTTTGAGTTTGGTATTTTTTGTCAGCTTTTAATTATTTCTTATAAGTGCTGCCTTGATCATCACAGAATGAAAAATATTTTTAGATTTTTTTTTTTTTTAATTTAAATGGATTGAGTAATACCAACAACTAGTAAATTATAGCCCCTGGGTCAAAGTGAATATGAAATCTGCCACTTAAACAGTTGGTATCTCTTACAAAGAAATAGAGGTATCATACATAAGTTAATCTCCCTACAAAAATCAGATTGGAGCTGTAGATGGAACTCCTAAATTAAGGAAACAAAAAATTACTCTTTTTAAGATTTCAAGCATGAGATACAGAATTATTATTACTGCCTTAATATATACATAAGTATTTAGCTCATTCAGAGAAAAAAACATATGCATGCATATAAAGTGATATTCTTTCAGATAGAAGACTCCTGTGTATTTTTTTTTTCAAAGAGAAAGAAAAGACAGATGAGTTACGCAGTGGTAAAGCAGGTAAAAATATGATGAAAATAGAGTGGGAACCAGTGGGTTGTATAAATCATCTGATTTTTCTGGCAGATTTCCCCTCGCAGATTACTCTGGGGGAGAGCAATCATTCTCATTTACTGTTACTTGCTGTCATTTAAAAAACACAGACCATAACATTCTCTCACTTAAAATTTCTCCACTTTAGGCTAAAAAATAAATTCCTTTGTATGATAAAGACTCTTCATGACCTGTTCCGTACCTTTTCTGGCCTTCACTTTGTATCTTCTCATACTCGGTATTTGACATTCTCTGAATGATCATTTTAATCCCCTTTTGTGATTGAGTTCTCCCACTTCAGTGTTTCATCACCATGATCTAGCACAGCAAGAGTCATAAAAGTGTGATGGTCAAATATTAGTTAAATACATTTTTATTGGCCTGAAATGCCACCATCCCAATTCCAGCAGAATTGATCATTTCTTCTTCTGTGTCATTACTGTATTTATATAGTTGCTTGACTATAACATAACAGTTGGATTCCAGTAGAAAACTATGTGGTTGACAATCACATTTTATAGATATATTTCTGATGAAGGGAAAGAAGCTGTAGACTTTCAGACTCTAGGTCTGTTATTTTTACTGTAGAAAGTTCAACTATAATGGAAGTGATTTTTATAACTAAATGCATTTTGTAATTGGGAACTAAAAATATTTAAATATTAGCATCATATACTTAATATACTTAATTTTAACATAGATAACCTATTTAGCTTCAGTAGTTAGTTGCTTTAAATGCTTTTCACCCTGAGCATTTGTGTTCTTTGCATCTTTAGAATCACAGTAGGACCCTACAGGTAGAAGTTACCAATGTGCTTGGTTTTTTTGCTCCACATTTGTTTGAAATTTTTCAAACCTACAAAACATTTGCAAGACTAGTAAAGTGAACACCCAAGGACTCAAACACAGATTCCCAGATTACTAACATTTTACCACAGTTGGATGGATTTACAGTTAGCTCATTGATTTGTGGAGGAGGAAGATGGTTTGATGCTAAAATTACACTTAGTCTGCTTTAATCTTAGATTAAGTATATCAGATTTTTTGCACTTGTGATACTGACACAAAACCCACCATAGCTGTAATACTATTTGTTAAATCCATAGCCTCTTATAGTTAAGAGTAACAGGTAAGCTTTTAATAATACCCTTTTTATCTTTATTGGTGAGATACGTGAACATATTTTCCTCTACTAGAGAAATGAATTATCATAATAGTTTCTACTCCCAGAGCAAGTATGTAATGGTCATGTTTCTCTTATAAAATTGAAATACCAGAAATACCTTATACCAGTGTTCCTTACAGCACTATTCACAATAATCAAAAGGTAGAAATGACTGACACGTCAGCATCAACAGATGAATGGATAAACAAAATACCACTGTATGCATACATTGGAATATTCTTGAGCCATAAAGAGAAATGAAGTCTTGATACATGCTACAATGTGAATGAATCTTGAAAACATACTGAGTTAAATAACCCACTTACAAAAAAGGACAATCCCACTTACATGAAATAGGCACATATATAGACATCAAAGTTTATTAGTGGTTGCCAGAGGTAATTTTCTTTTATGTCAAGAAATTTGTTATTGAATGAATATATGCCAGTTTAATGGTACCCAAATATTACAAATGGAAATTTCTTATAACTTTTTTAAAAATAGGAGCTTCTCTCTAACCTAATCACTTTTTAGATGCACTTTCCTTAAAACCGTTCAGATGATTTTGTTACTGCATATATAAAGTATGTTCAAATAAAAAATATAAACGCATTAAAGATACAATTTTTCAAATTATGGTGCCCTGTACTTTGTTCAATTATAGGAAGCAGTTTGGTTCCTTTCCAACATAACAGCAGGCAACCAGCAGCAGGTTCAAGCTGTAATAGATGCTGGATTAATCCCTATGATTATTCATCAGCTTGCTAAGGTCAGTCATATTGAGTTCATTGTGTCTATTATTGTATTATATAAAACCAAGCCTTTGGGGTAAAAAACTCATTTTATGATTTCTTTCTCAACCTCCAGGGGGATTTTGGAACACAAAAAGAAGCTGCTTGGGCAATTAGCAACTTAACAATAAGTGGCAGAAAAGATCAGGTGAATTTGAAAAAACTGTAATGGTTATGATTGTTAATAATGGAAAGTACACTACTCTTATATGGTTAAGAGTTACGATTGTTTCTAAGTCCTTTACTGTGTTCTTTTGGGGAAAAAGGTAATTCTATAAATAAAAATATTTTTCTCTTTTGTTGTGTAGGTTGAGTACCTTGTACAACAGAATGTAATACCACCATTCTGTAATTTACTGTCAGTGAAAGATTCTCAAGTTGTTCAGGTGGTTCTAGATGGTCTGAAAAACATTCTGATAATGGCTGGTGATGAAGCAAGCACAATAGCTGAAATAATAGAAGAATGTGGAGGTAAGAGAGTGGACTGAACGAAGAAAACTAGTTGAGCACTGGAACTCTGAAACATTAGTTCCTTTAAAGATAACTTACTAGAAATATAAACTGTTAGGATACATTGCTATTAAGTCATCAAATTATGTTGCTGTTCTTTATCTTCTTAGGCATTACACTACCTGAGCTTCTTATCTTCTATATTAGCATTACAAGAGGGTTTTCCAGATAACATTTGTCATAGTTTGCAAAAACTGATTCTGAAGGTCACTGTGTAACCTTCCTAGAGATTCACATTGATTTTTATAAAACACTGGCACTCTGGAAGTCACATGGCCAAGACTTAGATGAATTTACCATAATGTCATATTTTATTTTTTACATTTTGTTTATAATTTGAATGATGACACTACCAGTTTGAGCTTTTATCTTTTTTTTCAAAAGGTGGGGGGAGAGAGCAAATGCTATAGTGTGATAGAATATTCAGACCTGAAGAATTTCTTAATAACAGGAAGAAATTATCCCAGACATATGAAGGAGTATTGTCTGAAGTACATAACCTTAGAGATGGAAGCAAAGTTAAAATCCAGATCTTACTGTTGATCCAGTGCTCATTCTGGTTTTAAAGATACATTTTACTTTTTAAAATAATTTAAAATTAACATTGTAATCAGGCTCTTAACAACCCAGAAAGTTTGAGTAGCTGTCATAACTGTTTCTCTCTAGCTTTTTATTAATATAGTTGGCTCTGTCTATAGGAGTAATCCTTGTAATTAGAATGCATATTTTCTTGATATTTTACAGTTTAAAAAGCACTTTACATCCTTTATCTTTGACACTTACTTTCCCACTTTTCTGGTTTTATATTATTACTGCTAAATAAATGTGTGAAAAAAAAAGTTACTATTTTCAAATAACCGAGCTAAAAGATTTCAAGCAGTGATATTTATTATTAAGATCTAAATTTCCAGTCTTGCTTATCTGTTACATGGAGTGAATATATTGGAAATATAAATGAAAGCATTCAGTGTTTACTGTTCTGAAAAATTGTTTTCCAGTTTGATTGTGTCTATGGCACATAAGTGCCCTATGCATTTTTTAAAAAGAAATTTTTTCAAAATTTAAAGCCTTATTTTCTATTTGTGTTCATTAATCATTGAGTTTCTTAAAACTTCATTTTGTAGTTATATAAAAGTAATAACATTAGAAAACCAAGAAGAAGATTAAAAAAAAAAAAATTTTATATAAGGCTATTGTTGTTATGTGCTGTTGAGTCGGACCCAACTAATAGTGACCCCTCCCCTCCTTGGGTTTCTGAGGTGGTATCAATACGGAAGTAGATTGCCCAACCTTTTTTCCGAGGAGTGGCTGGTGGAGTTGAACCACCAGCCTTCTGGTTAGCAATCAAGTGCCTTAGGCACTATGCTACCAGAGCTCTTATGTGAAGGCAGTAGTATGGTTTTATAAAAGCTGTCTGGGCTATCTCCGTTATTTTTCTGTCACTCCCTTAGATTGTTCACCTCAAGGGCCAGGGTCCTAGAGGGCTTCTAAGGAGGGAGAAATTAGTGGGATGCTGGCCCTCCAAGTAGAGCAACTTAGGTTTAGACAGCCTCTCTTTTTGGTGGGTGGGCAGGAAGAAATTGCTTCAAGTCCATTAGAATTTGCCATAATTAAAATGAACATAGTATTGATTAGTATCTGTTTAGCTCTTTTGATTATTTTATTTTATTAGGTTTGGAAAAAATTGAAGTTTTACAGCAACATGAAAATGAAGACATTTATAAATTAGCATTTGAAATCATAGATCAGTATTTCTCTGGTGATGATGTAAGTATATAAAGATATGTTGTCTGTATGTAAATTAAAACCTATATAATATAAATTTACTATGACTTTTCTTTTTATCATTAATACGACTGAATTTATTCTGTATTCTGTCAGATGCTCTTGAGGTGGAATTTTTCCAGTTATTTAAAAAATCTCATGAACAGAAAAATTAATGCTCTTTATTAATGAGTTCTCTTAAATACTCTGAAACTTCATTACAAGGTAAAATGTGGAAACAATTATTGTTGCATTTATAATCTGTTAACTAGGAAGAAATAATTATAGAAATGATCATGTTTATATAGGTTAAATAAATCTACAGCTACAAAAGCTTAAGAAAGCAGCAGGGAGTATGTGTTCAATTTTTAGATTGCTAAATTTCTTAATAAAATCATTACTTTCACATTTACTTAAATAAGTTTATGTGATTAAACCATTCATACAGAATTCTTTAAGAGGTAAAAATTAATTCTGCCTACACCAGAATACATAGCATAACATGTATTTTTTTCTCTTTTTATAGATTGATGAAGACCCTAGCCTCATTCCTGAAGCAACACAAGGAGGTACTTACAATTTTGACCCAACAGCCAACCTTCAAACAAAAGAATTTAATTTTTAAGTTCAATTGAGTGCAGCATCTTTCCCACATTCAATATGAAGCACCACCAGATGGCTACCAAATGACAAGAACAACCACCACAAAGGCTCCAAAACATACATGCCTCTTCGTTTTGATGCGTCTAAAGCAAGCCATGTCTCAGTCACTTTACAGTTGCCAAAAGTCACTATCACATGGACTGTAAATGCATATGCATGATTTCCTAAACTGTTTTAGAATTCTCCTTAACAGTCTCAACTACCCTATTTTTTTCCCTGTTCCCTGGTGCCACACGCTGACAACTACAGTCTACAGTTAAGAATATTCCATAATGGTGCGCTGTGGATCAAGACACTTTGGTATGATGCATATAACGCTGGAAGACTTTAAAGAGGTACAGTCTGATCTGAGCCTCAGTCATTGTCCTCCACAAACATATTTTCATATTCTTTATGTGGAAGAATAGATTTTAAAGTACAAGCCAAATGATTTTCATTGGTCATTGGTGGAACTGACACACAAAATAAGTAACTTTAAAAACAAAACAAAAAAAACTTGGTTATTGATTAAACAGATAAGTTTTAAAAAAAAAACAAAAAACTGTACTTCATCTACCAGTAATTGATGTGTTTATTATCTGCCTCAGAAGCCAGGGTTGGAGGAAGAACTTCAGATATGGATGGTAATGCTTTTGCCATTATACCTAATTTTTGAGAACAGCAAGCCCTATTTGACCACTCACTTCAGCCTGTGTGTTCCTGCTGTTTTGAAGTAATCAAATGCTGTGCATGGTATTTTACCTAAGCTGCAACCTGTTACGGACTTGAACTTCTGTTTAAGGTGAAAGCAAGAGTCCCTAACTGTAGTAGGGGGAAAAAGGTCTAAAATACCCATTGATGATATTAAAAAAGAAAAAAAAAAAAAATCTTGCTTTCAGCTTTCAGGAGTTATTATTTTTGTTTTAAATTGATAATTGGATATGGTTGATTTATGTTGGGTTTAAACTGTGGAGCTTTCATGTTTACTGTAATTTAGTCTTAAACTATTTTTTACTTAGTAACCAGTGCTTTTGATAATGTGGTTGGCAACAAACCAGCAACTATTTAGAAGTGTCATAAAACTTCATTTTTTTGAGTATTGGAAATGTTAATTCAGATCCTACTCTAAAAGCATATTCACATATTAAAACATCAGAAAAGGATCTGTGTAGAGGAATAATCTGCAGTTGTTTAACATAAACCAGATCTGCAGTGGTCATAAAATAACTCTGCAATATCTGGTATTACTGTGTAAAGTCATTGCTTTTGGTAAAATTATCTGACCCAGTTATTAATGAAAGAATATGGATATGAAAATTTTTAAATGGAATAATTTGTGCTGTCACAAAAATGGTTTTGTTGCTATTGTTTACTGGGCAATTTCCCAATGCATTGATGTGAAGGGATAGAAAATCTAAACTAATTTAATTATCAGATGGGGGGTGTATTTACTGTGATGAAGATGAGACAGATGCCATCAGAGCTTTGTGAATCAGCTGGGGTTTTTTCACTGATAAACAACACATAGCAGGTGTGCGTTCATTAAAACTATATGTATCTGCCAAGGTGGAGCCACTTTAAAGAGTGAGTTTTGTCTTGTATCTAAAGTGGATACAAGCGTATGTTTAAACTGCAAGATTTTTACTTGCTAGAGAATCTGTTTTAATATAGTGGTTTGGCCTCTGATTATTTATAGGTTTTATAAATTTTAGAATCAATTTCTCTTTAAGGTGGCTCAGATTTTTCAACTCTTGTGCACATAAAATTGAGTTGAAGTTCATTGTGCCTTTTTTTCTTTATCCAAACTTTTGAGTTAAAGCTTCATATGGTAACTGCATCCTATTCAGACACTATAGTCTAAATTTTTGAAACTGTGTGGTGTTCACTAAAAGTAGGAATGACAAAGTCAAAGCTAATTAAGGTCACAAACTTCGGTGAAACCCTTAAAGTCCAAATCTTCTTGATATTGTGAATTGTACCCCTTCTAGTTTAGTTTCTTCCAGACTCTCCATATTTACTGACAGTTACCTTTCAAATTTTGCACACAATAAGATTGAAATCGGGCCTCAACTGTGATGATTCATATTTCCTCTTGTGTTCTCAGTACAAACTAACATTTAACTGAACATTAGCATCAAGTAGTGCAGACTTGTGTATGCATTTGCTTGATAGAATTTGTTGTGACCTTACCGGGTTTTGAATTGGAATTGCACCATTGCGTACATAAAGGAAACTAAGTATATTGCTGCACTTTTAAGTTTTCAAAACAGTGTTTAAAAATTGCATTGTTTTTATTTTTTTTAAAACTCAGTTAAAAAAGACTAAAACGTTCTTTCAAAAGAGGCATCTAAATGTGTTCCTAATTTTGTATATGGGCTTAGGTTTTGTAACCAATAAAAAAAAAAGCTGCTATCAAATATGATAAAACATTGAAGAACTTATTTCAAAGCATAACTTTTACTGGCTTTAGTTTTGTTTCTGTATACTTAAATTTAACTTTGGAATTATTTTTCACTTATCACCTACAGTGGAGATGAATCAGGAATCACCCTTTCTCATTGTGTGTGAATACCTCCTTTCCCACTATGACAACACCTGGATGAACACCAATAACAATGCTAGCTTTATGAGTATTTTGTAACAAATAAATAGCACAGAGTCTCAGACTTAAATACTGTACCCTAGAAAAGGGCCATTCATTGGGTTATAACTTTCATCAAACAAAACAAAAGTAAACAAACTTTATTTCAGTCTTGTCTGATAACCCATGAAAATATGTAGCTATGAAAGATCATAATGGAACAAAAATCTGCAAGTTTTAGCCTGTTAGATAGCAATTATGGCTCAAAGTAAAATCTCAAATTAATTGAAACATCAAAGGAGAAGTCAGACTTTGAGTATACAAGTATTTTTACTTTTGTATAATTCTACTTCAAATTATTTTTTACAGAAGTCAGTGTATAAGTAAATAAATGTAATGGTACTCCTATATAATCTTGCCATGATTTCCTTCAGAAGTATCCTTTTCAGAGGATTAATTAATTATTGCAAAAGAGAATTCATAAATGTCAGTTGTCTTGGAGTTATTGTTATGAGTTTTCCTGACCCTGGTTGATCTGAGGAAATTTCCTAAAATCTATTTGAGGAAAGGGAGTATAATTTCTGTACATTAAGCTATGATTATGAAGCATGTAATCCAAGAAGTGCCGTATGTGACCCACCGTATAAATGTACTTGATCAGTCTGCTGAACAAATGAGTCTCAAAATATACTCTGTATATCAAGAGAAAGTGTCTGGGGAAAGGGATGTGGGAATGCAGCTCTGTTTGCATCCTTAGCTTCGTTATTTGCCCATAAAATCCTTAAACTAACTTTGAAAAAACCCACTGCCATCAAGTTAATTCCAACTTATAGTGACTCCCATTGGGTTTCCAAGGCTGTAAATCTCTATGGAAGTAGATTGCCTCACCTTCCTCCTGTGGAACAGCTGGTGAGTTGGAACCGCTGACCTCCTGTTAGCAGCCAAATATTTTACCCAACTGTGCCAACAGAGCTCCTTACCTAGTATTATTGATATTGTAGGCTGGATAATTCTTTGTTGTGGTGGGTCTCTTCTGGGTATTGTTGTATGCTTAGTGGCATCCCTGGCTTCTGCCCCCTAGATTGATAGCACCCCTTTTCCCCCCAGTCAGGACAGCTGACAATGTCTTGGTCTATTGCCAGATGTCCCCTGGGGACAAAATCTCCTCAAGTTGAGAACAATTGGCCTGAATGAATAAATTCCTGAAGAAAAACTTCTCCACTCAGATGAGGCAGCCTAAGTCATGACTTTGCTGGTGAACAATTCCAAGCTTGCCTCAGATGCATGGAGCTCTGATGGCACAGTGCCTAAGGCATTTGACTGCTAACCAGTTGGTGGTTCAAACCTACCATCCATTCAGCAGAAAGAAGATCTACTTCCATAAAGATTTACCACCTTGGAAACCCAATGGAGGTTACTATGAGTAGGAATTCACTCGATGGCAGTGAGTTTTGTCCTTTTTTTTATAAGATAGAAAGAAGAAACAAACATGTATTGTCTTCATTTTTAATGTTAAGAGAAATCAGAACCAGTCTTAACCATTTCCCAAGTCCCCCATCTGTGGGAGCTAGTGGTTGTACCGAGTCCTATCTATTGCATATGATTTAGAGTGGAAATGGAAATATGGTTAACTAGTTGCCCTTTTAGAAACTCTGATAGCATAGTGCCTAAGGCACTTGACTGCTAACCAGAAGACTGGCGGTTCAAACCCATCAGCCACTCCTTGGAAGGAAGGTTGGGCAATCTACTTCCGTAATGATCCTGCCTCGGAAACCCAAGGAGGAGTTGCTATGAGTCGGGTCCAACTCGACAGCGCATAACAACAACAGTTACCTCTTAAAATTATTCTGTGGCTACATAATAGGGTAGTAAGAGAGGAAAAAAAAAATGAAATTACTCATAATCTTAAAACTTTTCCTGTAGCAATGTTTTTCAAACATTTTTAGTTGAAGATCTTTAAGTTCTCCAGGAAAAAAATTGGCACTCGACTGGGAAATCATAGCATAATTTGTAAACCACTTACTGAAGCATTGTGACAGATTGGCCTATCTTCAGGAAGCTTACATGTTTAGATGGGAAAACAAAAACATTGTATTATTAATAAATGACCTATTAATTGAAATAATGGTAGAAATCATAAGACAGTATAAAATTAGTGTTAAATGAGAGCAAAAATTGGATAATTCATTTTAAAATTGAGACTATCCACACATTGGTGAATAGTGTAGGGCAGCAGCTTAAGGATGGTGGGGAATACAACAGTAGATGAGTGACAGGCTCTACCTTCAAAGAGCTGTTCTCGTTATCTTGCAGTAGCTATGTTCTAAGTTTTAATGCATAAAGGACAAATAGAGAAATGAGAACAAAGTTCAGAGAAGGGGAACAACAGTGAAATACTTCTTGGATGTAGTGGGACTGAGACTGAAAAGACAGTCAAGTCATTCAGGACCAGACCTGTACTATACCAAGTGGTTCATGATTTAGGTTTCTTTGGCTTAACATAGGAACATTGCATTATCTGGATGCTAGTTGTATGACTATGGGAGAGACTATTTATTTTACTAGCTTCATCATACTAGACTTGTGATCAAGTAAAAGCCTCCAGTTCCCTTTCACACTGGCTCTCCATCAAGGATTTATGCAATTACACTTTTCAAATATAAATATAAGAATTTATAAATTGCATATT